GTGTGTGTGTGTGTGTGTGTGTGTGTGTGTGTGTGTGTCCCTGTCAGCGCATGTGTATATGCATTTGTGTGTTTCTCTAACATGGCACCAACCTAGATCCAATGCCAAGCCTCCCATTAGTGAAGCACTGTGCATTAAAACCCCATTAACCATCCTTTTCTGATAGAAATACACAAGCACCATCACAACCTCCTCATACTTGAACACACAAACACACACAAACACACACACACACACACACACACACACACACACACACACAGTATGTTGTTACACACAAAACGTGCACATCTGCCACCGGGCATTTCCTTCTGTTAGGAGGAAACTTTTACGATCCATTTTCTCAGACCAAGGTCATGAATACACACAGACAAACAGACCTCCACCTTTTTGCCTTCTGTCTCATCGGTCTCCAGGAGCTAACTCGCTGAGCCAATGTCGTATTTTTGGTTTATTTTCCTGGAACTATTAGAAAAACGTAGCACATTTTGTCTGCTGTTTTCTCAATGCGTGTGTCCTCCTGCAGATTGTCTATACCAACACTGAAGAGAAGTGATGCTGGACTGTACCAGTGCACAGTGAGAAACAGGATGGGAGCGCTGATACACAGGAGAACAGAAGTGCACGTGGCCTGTAAGTACACACAGACTTTAATTATTATACACAATTGTGTAAAGAGAACAGACTATTATATCAGAGGCATTAACATTTTCAAAATAGGTGGTTTATGGACAACCGCGATTCCAATGATGTTGGGACRTTGTGTAGCCTGGTAAAAACCAGACCCTTGTCCTTCACTTTGCTTTATGCGAGGGTCTGGACTCACGGCTATAGAAAAGCGATTCTTGCTGGAGGCGTGGCCTCTGCTGAAGTTTAAAATGATTGGATCGAGGGTCTGGACTCTCGGCTATAGAGAAGCGATTCTTGCTGGAGGCGTGGCCTCTGCTGAAGTTTAAAATGATTGGATCAGTTGGCCACGATGTATGTCGCTGTGAAGGAGGCTAAGCTAGGAAGCTAACTGGAAATCGCGTGTGCTGTAAACAACCCTACTGAGAGGAGAGAAGTACCGAGCCGAACGAGACGACTGTAAATGAGAGCTGCTGCTTTGTCAGACAAATTTAATTTAATTTGGAAGCCTTATCAACACAGACTGGCTTCATTCACTTCCTCCACTGCCATTGCTAAACTAACAGACAGAAAATTGACGTCGTTCAAAACTCTGCCTTCAGTTTGCTGATTGGCCCAGGTAAAATAAACTACAAGCAGACACTGCGCAGAAAATTGACGTTCTGTTCTCTGATTGGCCCAGGTAAAATAAACTACAAGCAGACACTGCGCAGAAAATTGACGTTCTGTTCTCTGATTGGCCCGGACAAAAATTCTCCCGATGAAATCCTTGTCTGTGGGAGAAATCCCAGACGGAGCAGTGAAGGGAAACTAGAATTGAGCGGAGCTTCGTAGGAAGGCAAGGGCCAGGCTAGACGTTGTGTAAAACAAATAAAAACAGAATAACATGTAAAATTGTCTTGGTTTGATGATGTGACAGGAATCATAAATTCACAATTCATCTTTTATGCCAATGATGCTTTTATTGATCTCACCCCTCTCTCTCCTGTGAAGTTTTGGGAAGTTTCTCAGCTGAAGAGCAGAGGAAGACAGTGACTCAAGGTCGAGCAGCCATCATCAGCCCACCTCCTCTCGTGTCTTACCCTCAGCCCCTGGTCACGTGGTACAAAGACGGACACAAGATAATTCCCAACAACAGAATGTATGTATCTATGTTTCTTTTTTACTTTTCTCCCATGATTTGATTTGATTTGATTTGATTAGTTTTATTAAATAGACTCATGGTCCACCTTGACACAAAAGAGAAAAACAAACATAATACACACAAAAAAATGCTCTTCACACCTATAAATATATCTGCCGCTCCAAGCAAATTTTCACATGTAGCTGGAGTTTAATAAAATAATGCTAAAGATAACACTTAAATTTGACTTTTCTTACCCCACAATGGTATATTAATTAGTGTGCTCTAAAGACACAAAAGTCCTTTTAAATCATTGGACAGCGATTGTCATGAATAATAAGCTGTTTAGATAACTGACCCTTTTCATTATAAATGACTACGGACATAATCAGGAGAAGATAAAAGTGAATTTTCAATGAATCCAATCTACAAGGTTATTAAGTAATTTTAGGTGCATGGAAGATGTTCTTTTGTGTTAGTGGGAGAGCAGAGATGTGGGGGTCCTTAGATGTCTTGTGTGGCTGCATTTCACATCCTTTTTGTTTGATGCTGTTGTCTGCTTCCCTTTGAAATCCCTTCAATTTGCATATTATTTCTTAGTTGCTACAGATATCTTGTCAGTCTCACTATCCTGAATAATCATAATTGCAGTGTTTTAATAATGGGGATAATCGTAATAAAAAAGCCCTGTTTTGAGAACAATTTGCAGTAGTTTCATTCAGCCAGAGTATATTTAGAGTATATGTTTTTTAATCCTCTCATCAGGGAAAGTGGGTGTTGAGCTGGTGACCTTCATTGATTTTATTAGATTTTGCTCGTAATGATAACTAACTCCCCATTAAGGGTGTTAAATGAGGCTGTTGCTGGCCTTTCTGTATGTAAAAAAGGCAAAGCACAATATTTTCACACCTACAATGACAATCACTTACTCAGAAGGGCTTTTGTGAACACTCCAAAGAGTCAAGGGACACAACAGTTTTCTTTGTGTCTGGTTGACACCAAGTTTGACTTTACTTTTTTAAAATGAGCAAATATAGATCATTTTCTCTTGTTAGCTTAATGGGGCTTTATTGAGTGAAGCTTAATGACAGTGGGCCTCAATTATTTTACCGCTCAAGATGCTGTCTTTATTGAAAAAGTGTTAACTGCCAGAGCATGACCACCTCACACTGGATTATCCTTCCTGAGCTTCAGTCCCTCTTGGTATCCATGCAAAACAAAAGATTTATTTGTGACTGGTAACTATTCTGGTGACATTTAGGTAATTAGAAGTTTTAGTTACCATGCAGTCAATTAGAAATTGTATGTATTACTAAAAATTAAAGTTGTCTGTTCTTTACTTGACTGTAAATTTATGTTTTTACAACCTCAAATGAACATGCACACGTGACTCATTAGACACTGTCATTATTTAGTCAATAAAAAWAAGCTAAATTGGAAGCAGCTTGTGGAAAAACAGTCTTAGTGCTTTTTATTGGAATATAGAAGGTAATTAGCAGCCAGGTGCTGCTAATCAAACACACTTCATTAACTAATCAGCAAGTGTGTGCTCATTTTTAAAAGAAGATCTGGCAGTTTTCTGGCCTGGAACGTTCAGCTGTGCGTGAACACAGTGCCAAGGAGGAAAGACATCACCAATGATTTTTGAGAAGTGATTGTTGCCGCCATCGATCTGGGAAGAAATATAATGCTATTTCCCAAAAAAAAAAAAAAAAAAAAATTAGAGTCCGTCATTCTAACATGACAAAAAATGTCCACAAGTGGAGACATTCAAGGCAGCTGTCAATCTTCTGTGGCGCTGACATTTTATTAAGTTCATGTTAAGGTCTGACCAGCTAAGGCTCAGAATAATTGTGAAAAACCTACAAGCTATTACATTTATCAGGCGTCAGTTGGCATATGTAAATCCAGAACAGTACAATTAGGAAAAAAAAGCTTTATGGTCACAGTTTCTTCCAAAACCATGTGAGTGGCTGATGAGGTCATAAAGCAGTCGATTCTTTAAAAGTCATAGCTGTTCAAGTTGTTCCACAAGATATTAAATCATGAAGTGTCTTTGGTTTTTCACATTCTCATTCTGCTTACCTGTCTAGTTCTAAATCAATGACATTATATATTAGACTGTAGAATGTCATTGCTTTTAAAAATGGCCCAAAATGCTGGATTTATAATCCACAAAAGGCTTTCTGTGTCTCCATATTTCTGAAGGCTAGTTGTTGTTTACTTTAAAATTGTATTGATGGTGAGTCAGGCAGAGCATTTCCAACTTTCCTTTTTCATAGTTAAGTCAGTATCTCACTCGGAAGACTAGTAGACTGCAATTCTAAATTGCAAGAAAATTGCAAGGAAATGGGCAAATTTTCTATTGCAGTATCACTGTATGCTACGTGTTTGCAGCCAAGCAATCAGTGGGCCATGCAACTGTGATTAGTGCTGCCAATTTTATAAAAAATTACAACCTTTTTTTGTGAGCACGACTTGTGAAACTGTACTGGCTTAATAATTGTATTTCATTGCCCATGCATGTCCACATCATTCTCACCTCAGCCCATGTTGGACCCACAGCCATCCCCACATTAATGATTTGATCTATTAGCTCACACCTTTAAAATGTACTGTAGATAGGCTCATTTGGACCATTTTATTAAAAGTTTTCTTTTCTTTGTTTTTAATGGTCCTTTTTGGACCTGGTCATGTTGGGCTATAATCTCAGATGTTTTCTGTCACAAGATAGCTCCCTTGCATGGGTTAAATATGTCTTAAGAATTACAGAAACAATATTGAGAAAGTTGGAGTTGGGTCCCAGCCACACCAGACAATTCTGGGATTAATATGAGAGAAGATTTCTAGAACAATTTTTGAAATATCCAAAATTCAAGCAACAAGACTGCAAGCCTATTCTATTCTATTCTATTCTATTCTATTCTATTCTATTCTATTCTATTCTATTCTATTCTATTCTATTCTATTCTATTCTATTCTATTCNCTATTCTATTCTATTCTATTCTATTCTATTCTATTCTATTCTATTCTATTCTATTCTAAAACATTTACATTCCATTTTTATAGAAATACAAATGACATTTTCCAAGTTATATTTCATGTAGCATTTAAAACACAAATAACTTGATGTATAAAGAAAAATAAATATATCTAGAAAGACACATCATCAGGAGTCATTTCTTATGAAGTATTTTTTATTATCAACTTTTTCATCTATATATAATTGATCACAATCCATCAAATCTAGTAAAACAAAAAAATTAAGAAAACCCTCCCTAAAAATCCAATATTTTGGCTTTATAATAGGAAAAGAAWACAGGAACAGATGATTAAAGTTGATTCTCTGTTGCTCTTTCCACACCAAAATAAAAGATTACTGAAAGATTCAGACAAAATTTTCTTGGATTGAAAGCTGGCCGGCTGTCATGAGAAGCATACACTGAATATAGAGATAGAAAGATTAATCATCACACTTTTTCACATATAAAATATTGACTTTAGGGCCGGATAAAATGTTAATGAAGGCCGGATTTGGCCTGCGGGYCTTGAGTTTGACCCGTGTTCTAGACCAAGTGTAAAGCCAGATGTAATCATTTAGATATAGTATAAAATGTTAATGGAAACTATGTCACACTTTTGAAAACAAACCCTTATTAGAAAGTTTTATCAGCATTAGCACATGCGTATTTATTTGAGCCTGTGTAATAAACCTAAAAACATATTTACTCTTTCAGAATAATTTCCTCTGTTGCCTGCAGATGAGTTGCACATTCAGAAGGTTTATATTTTCTCCATAGTGATGGGGGAGTGCCAAATTAACCACATTTTGTACACACTTACACCTCTTTGCAATGATATAAAAAAATCTGCCATACACAACCTTAACCTTAACCTAAGCTGTTCCACATGCAAAGACTACTAATGCTAATGTGCTCGTGAAAATGACAAAGTTTGAAATTTCATCCAGATAATTGTCAGTTTTTCTGTATTTTCTCCCCACTCAAACATYGCACAAAACAGTAATATACCTGATAGAAGTAAATCTCTTTAATTCATTTTATGTGCTAATGTGATGTGGATCTAAACATTCATCTCCTCAGTGTGAATTGAAATCCTCTGATTTGCTTGCAGCTCGCATACGCACACTGTGATAAGGACTCATGCATAACACTTCCTTTGAACCCGCATAGAAAAGAATAATTTGCACCTTTTTTTCACAGCKTTCTTCTTGTCTTGACAAGAAGTATCTTCCACTTTCTCCCTCTTTTTTTTCCCTTTTTGCTGCATCTCTAAGTCACTCTTTTTTTAATCCCTAAATATATTTTTTATGCGGCTTCGTTCTCTTCACTGGCTGTTTTTCCTCACACTCTGCCTCTTTTATGGTCATTAACATGCTACAGGATATAGTGTTTTACAGAGCCCATAAACCTTTGTCCCTGAATAAACTGCTTAACTGCTGCAGTGTATGCATCAAACACACACACAGATATAATCTGTCTCCGCAGACCAATCTCACTCGCGTCTACCTGGCCCGAGCGTCTGTGTGCGTGCTCATGCGTGGCAGGCTGAGTGCAGAGAATATTTGCGCAGTTCACCGTGTGTAAGTTGTGTCGGGGTGTGTTTGTGTTTGTGCGCAAGGTTACGCTGGCTGAACCCGCAGTCCGTCGAGACACGGCCAGATGGTGCCTGGCGGTTGGCTGTCTTCGTGGTGACCGAGCTGATGATGTCGTTTATGAAGTTTATAGATCCGATATGCATGGCTCCCAGCGTCCCTCGCCCCCATGTCACTGTCTGTCTTCCTGCTTTTCCCATAGCTCTCAATTTATGTCCGTGTGCCTGCCCCTAACGCTGCTCTGCATAGCTGGGGCTCGCACACACTCTCGCTCCTTCTGTGTGTCTACACTCGGCCTATCCCCACACACACACACATCCTGCCTGTCTGTGAACATTCCCAAACTCCCCCAGCCCTCAAACTGGCCAGCAAAGAACTTACAAGCTGTCACTTCTCACACAC